TAATCCAAGCCCTTGGTGTGTGCTGTTGACGAGTGGTGGTAACTGTTATTGTTAGCATCTAGGACTGGGGGGATAGAGCAAAGGTAGATTTGGATTAATAAGGCTGGGGCGTGGTTCAGTCAGGAGAGTGCTTGCCTAGTATGCACAAAGCCCTGGTTATGGATCCCAGCACTCAAATGGGGCAGAGTGGTTCGAATCTATAATCCCAAAACTGAGGAGGTAGAGCTTAGCCTTGACTGGCCTGAGGCTAGACTGGACTACAAGAGACCCTATCTCAAAACACACAAATGTGTGTGTGTGTGTGTGTGTGTGTGTATGAGAGAGACAAAGAGAAAGAGACAGAGATGTAGAGAGGGAAAGAGACAGACAGACAGACACAGAGAGAGAGACAGAGAGATACTGAATATTATGAGATTTGAGAATATGCTGAATGTGGAGGTTCAGCTTCACCACCATCTTTACTACACAGAGTAGAAAGACAATAGCCTTTTATCTGTAGTTTAACTTCTTCTGCAGTGTTTGCTCCTGAAAATGACAATGGAGTCGTCTAACTGGTGCGACTCTGGTATCCCAGTGGAGTCTTCTAACTGGTGTGGCTCTGGTATCCCGAGTAAGGGAACACCCGGGATTCAGTGGCTCTCAACATGTATGACTTTCTTCTGGGGACCCATATGAGGAAGTCATTCTCTTTAATGAAGAGTGTTGATGAGTTGGGTTCTGCTTAGTTGAATTGCAGTATGTAAATCAACTTAATCAGACACTGGCTCTGCCAGATAAACACTCAGCACCTGGCATGCTTTGGTTGAACACCCTTGTTTGTTTGGTTTTGAAAAATTCTTTCCCCCTGTGTGGCTTCTTCACAGAGCGGACCCCTCAACTTGGTCAAGCTGCAGTGAGCAGGCATTTTCAGTTGAAAAGCGTTTTTTTTTCCTGTTTTTTTTTTTTTGTTTGTTTGTTTGTTTGTTTGCTCGGTTGGTTTGGTTTGGTTTGGTTTGCCCAGAGGAATGACAAGGTTTTAACTGCCAGATTTAACAGAACTCGCTTCAATGAATACGTGTCAATGGCGGTCAGTGGAAGAGCGGGCTTCTGGCTCATTCCCTGTCGGTTTAAATCGAGTCAGGAGTGAGGGAGTAGTAACATTGCTGGCTCAGAGAAGTCAATCCTAGAAGGCAGTCAGAGACCTGGGACACTCCCCATCCCCGTGTCCTGTCCTCTGTATGTCATCCTTTCAGGGACTGCACTCCCCCCCCCCCCAGGAGCTGAGGAGTAGAGTCCCCTGGCCTGGATATGAAGATTCTCTAAAGAGAGAAGAAAAGGGGCTGAAAAGAGGTGCATGAGGAGAGGGCTGTGTGCGGTGAGCAGGGGGCACGTGTTGGAAAACCACTGATATTCTGGGCCAGTTCTTCATGGCAGCTGATTGTGTGAGCTTCATAGGATCTGAAGCAACATCTCTGGTGTCTTTGCTCCCAGCTCCTGCTCCCTCCAGTAGGATCACCCAAACTGTTTCCAGAACCTCCCAGAATGTTACCTGGGGAGATACAGCTCCCTACTGAGGACCACTGCCTTTAAAGGATCCATTCCCGTTACTGTAAGCCCAGAACAGCACTATTCCTCTTAGGCTGTGCTCTTGGGAATGTCTTCATGGTTTCTTGAGGATTTCTTTAACGCTAACGGGCAAGAGAGCTTCTCCTGAGATGGGTGCGTCCTTAGGATGCTAGGCTGGAAGAACACATTTCTAAGCAATGCAGGGGTACTGAGTCACTTTCTATGGTAACTTGAATTTTGTCTCTAGGGGTCTTTGACTCTCCTAAATGAGTATTGTGTTAAACAACAATGCCCAATTGTCTGTGGAGACTTTATTTAGCATCTGAATATCAGACGGGAGAAAACCCACAGACACTTGGCTCAATTATAAAAGCAAAGTCGTTTTTTCCCAAAGGAGCACCCTGGAATGAGTCTGTTCACACAAATATAAGAGAGATCCGGGAAGGCGGGAAGGCCACAGACGAGGGACATAGATCACCTAGTGGCATTTCAGGAAAACAAAAGTTTTTTTTTTTTTTTTCTAAAAATCATCCAGGATCCTGCCCAGTTAGAGACCTGGTGTCACTTGTAAGTCAGATGTCATATTCATACCATTCTTGGCAGCATGCATACAATTTAAATATTTTAGCTTCCATTGCAGCTACACAACTGACCTTCAAGGGTCCCATTCATGGGGGAAGGAGCCCAGGGAACAATCAGTCACTTCATGTGAGGGCTGGCCAGCAGACGGGGTTTCCTCACATTGCCAGACAAACCAGGACACAGGGACAGCTTTGCAGCAGTTCATCATGACAGAGCCGGGACAGAGAATGACTTGGGGTGGGGGCACCCTTTGGGGGAAGCGAGGGGGTAAAGCTTTTTTTGGTGTTGTTGTTTTGTTTTTAAACCCTTCCTTTTCTTTTCTTTTCTTTTTTTTGAGAAGGAGCTATCAGCCTTTGTTCCCAGGGAGAAGGAAACATCCATGAAGACTGGCGAGGCTGGGAATTTTGTTCCGAGTGAGTTCCTTTTGTGGAGGCTCCAAGGCGAAGGAGAGGAATCCGGGCTGAGGCGGGTTCAAGCTAAGATGAGAAAAGAAAAAGAATTCCTCCCAAGGATTTCTCCCATTGTCTCCCAGTGAATAAATATTTATAGAGCGGGTTCGAGTGAAGCCCGCCACAATGGTCACAGCTTTAAGACCAAGCCTTCCAGTAGGCACATCTAAAACTATGTCTAAGCGTGATCCAATTAAGACTCCCCAGAGGAAGGCAAGAAACCTCAAGATAATTTCCTACTGAAAATCTAATTGTGTCTTCAAGTGGAAAAGGAATGCCGGCATGAGTTACCCCAGACCCATAGGCTGCTGCAAAAAAATGTACACCTAAATTAGATTCTATTTTAAGTAATTAAGTTATTTCCCTTCACAGGATCTATAATTCGTCTTGAACAAATGTGATTTGCCTAAGAAAGATAAGGCCTTGCAATTTTTCCTTCCCAAACAGATTTTCTGTGCCAGAAACAATTACTAAGAGACCAAATATTGTCTTAATTATATCTCATTTACTATCTGGGAGCATGCCTTCAGCACCCTGTTTGTGCTCCAAAGTGGGAGAGGTAAAGCCACGATAGATGAGAAGTTATCTTTAAATGGAGACCGGACCTGCAATTTACTCAAGAGTTTGAGGCTTGCACAACGTTAGTGTAAATAGCTCTAGGTTATTACATAAGGCCCTAAAATCTTGTGCAAAATCGGGCAGTGGAGGAGAGCTTGCTTCAATACATCTTGGAACGCTAAAAAAAAACAAAACAAAACAAAAAAAAATAAACACTAGCACTAACCTTTAGCTGCTTTAGTTGAGCCCCTCAGGAGATGCTAGGTGTTGTGATAGAGTCAGAATAAAGGTCCTGAGATTTGCATAGAAGATATTGCAAGGAGGGTATTTTGGTTATGGCTAATTTTATGAAGAAAACATTCACTTTTGGCTTTGTAGTCACAACTTGGTTGACCTCCGACCAGGTGTTCTGGGGGACAATAAAGGGTAAGGTGGATAAATGGTATCAACTTTGGGTTGGGCTGACTAAAAATAAGTTAAACTGAGTCTCTGAGCCTCAGTTCCCACCTCAGTAGAAAGGGAGGGGTACCATTCATACCAGATGACCCACTGCACCTAGCCTGACTTCCCTTCAGATGGGACACATGGAAAACTGCAGTGAAATGTGAACAGCATCCTGTGTGCTTCCTGCTTCATGTGCACACACCTTTCTGAAAGGCAGTCCTTCATGGGAATGGGCCCTGCAAGGCCCTACACAGATATGCCCAGGCTTCTATGGGTTGAAAGTGTAAGGTTTCAACTTCTTGACACAGACTTTGAAATACTAGCTGTGGCTTGTCCCACACCTTAGACCAAGTTACTTAAGCTTTCTATGCCTTAGTTCCCTCCTTTATAAATGTTATGTAATACCAGAAGCAGAAAGTAAAACATTAGATAACACTTAGGACCGGCTGGGGAGATGGCTCTGGTAGTGAAGTGTCCACTGTGTAAGCAGGAGATCTCAAGTTTGAGCCCCACGAGGCTAGTAAAAAGCTGGGCATGGTGGTGCATGTCTTGACCCGCCTTTTGGGGGTGGGGGAGACAGCTGGATCTTTGGCGCTTGTGCAGCCAGCCTAGTCTACTTATTTACTTATCCAGTTCTAGCCCAGTGAGAGACCCTGTCTCAAAACAAACAAACAACAACAAAAACAAAAACCAGGGTGTGTCAGGTCCCGAGGAACATCCGAAGTTGACTTGACCACCAAAGGCATCATGCGTGTGCACGTATGTGAGCCCACAGAGACACACACTCAGGAGGATCTCTGCTGTGCCGTAAATGTTTTTTTTAATGTGTTTTCCAAACATATTCTTCCTGATAGCCAGCAGAAATGACAACATAGCACAACATAAGCCAAGTGAGCTTAACACTGAGTTTTATTAACAACTTAATACATACAAGACTGTACATTTGTCGATGCTGATCAAGTCACTCTTAAAAACGAAAAAGCCAGCATTTCTAAACTATGTCAGGCTTTGGTTTTAAGTGCCATTCTTTCAAAATCATACAGCGTAACCAAACAACTTAAGAACGGCGGTGGGGAGGGGGGAGGGGAGGTGGGGGCGTGCTCCTCGGGAAGGGAGGGATTATGCAGCAACAGCTGAGGGTCACTTCTAGCTTTACTCGATCCACCGCACATTCTGGAATGTTCAGTTCTTCTCTGCACAGCTCTACAGTCCTACACACAGACACACAGCCACTAAGAACTCGGCCACAGGCCTGGACACCCATTCACACGAAACAAACAAAAACCAATATTTATATAAATTAAGTAAAAATCTCACAAAAACTAAACAGATATAAACAACAGTCAATAAAAAAACTGTACAAGATCGGTCAGTCTTTTCTATCAGAAAAATGTGTAACATAAAAAGTTCTTCATCATATGTCTTTTCGTAAGTGTTAGCTGGAATGAAAACTTGAGGACTCTGACTCTGTGGAGACAGAAGAGTGTCCACCCCGTTTTCCTTTGGAAAGGATCTTGAGGCTGGAGCCTCGGCTCATAGAATTGAGGGCGTGCTGGGCAGAGGTTTTGAATTTGGCTCCGAGGAAGGCGTAGAGGATGGGGTTCAGGCAGCAGTGAAAGAAGGCTAGGGCCTCAGTGATGGAGATCCATTTGTGCACGATGTTCTCGAAATCGCACCCTTGCTTGATGACCTCCAAAAGGATGAAGGAGTCGATGCTGATCCCCACGTAATACGGTAGCCAGCAGGCAAAAAAAGCCAGGATGAGGATGACTGTCGTCTTGAGGGCCTTGCGCTTCTGGTGGCCCTTCGAGTGTGACAGTTTGGAGATGATAATGCAGTAGCAGGATAAGATGACGATGCCTGGCAGGATAAGCCCCACCATGATGTGCTGGAACTGGAACACCACTAACCACAGGCTATCAGGGTAATGGCGGTCACAGATATACCTGCCCTCTCCCTCACTGACGTCAGCAAAGATGAAATCAGGTATAGTCAGCAGCAGAGCAGGGATCCAGACGCCCACGTAGACTGCCTTCTCTGCCAGCAGCTTCCTTGGCCTCTGACTGTTGGTGGCATGGACAATGGCAAGATACCGGTCCAGGCTGATGAAGGCCAGGATGAGGACACTGCTGTAGAGGTTGACTGTGTAGATGACATGGACAGCCTTACATAAAAACTTTCCAAAGTACCAGTCAGCTATGGCATCAACTGCCCAGAAGGGAAGCGTGATGACAAAGAGGAGGTCAGCCACTGACAGGTGCAGCCTGTACTTGTCAGTCATGCTTCGGAGCTTCTTCTGGTAACCCATGACCAGGATCACCAAGCCATTGCCCACTATGCCAGTCAAGAAGATGATAAAGTAGATAGTGGGTAGGAAGATCCTATTGAAATGGGCATTTTCATCCCGGAAGCAGGGCTCCTTGTTGGAGTCATAGTCTCCCGACCCTAGTTCTTCAGAATAGTTATCTGAATTATATATCTGCAAAAGAAAACAGGGACAGGCACGTCACTTACAAGGTTAACAAGCCTTTCCCAAGTTTAAAGTTTTGGGTGCCTAAAAAAAGCAAGCATTTTTAATGCGGGTTTTAACCCAGCCTTTCCCAGGAAGCTCCAAAGGGCTGGCGGCTTAGGTGCAGAGAGGGAACCTGCAATCCTGCAAGCAGCCGGTTTCTCCATATTTCCCCACGCTCACATCCTTATGGCCCCTCTTTAGTGGAACCAATTAGGAGTCTTTGTTGGGAACAAAAGGACGCTGAGATTCTAAGGGTTTCACTGCCTAGTGATGGATAACTCTCCTGCCCGCCCACGAGAGGCAAGAAAAAAAAAGTAAAACCCCAAACCAAACCAAAACAAAAAAAACTCCATTCACACAAAGAAGTCACTCCCAGGCGCTGTAGGGTGGGGGCGAATCGTGTGGAGCTAACTCTGTGTGGAAGGAGGAGATGGGATTAATTTTTTGCATGAAGATCAGGCAAAGGAGGAGGGAAGAAAGCAGAACGTGACGGTAGGGGTCACCCCCCCCAAAAAAGACTCAACGTTTTTAGGACCAAAACCCTGTTTTTCTCACGTCTGTCTAAACACAAACCACTGCATTTCAAGTCACACGTAGTGAAGAAAGAGAAATAATGCCAAAGTCTTTGGTAGTTTAGGGTCAAGGGAGTGTTTAAAATGAGCACACAGCACCCTACTCCACCCCACCCCACCTCCGCGCTTCTTTGGAAGGTAAGTCTTTCTTGCCACCCCCATGTTTATCACTGGGTGTATCTGGGACGTTAAAGTCACATTATCCTGGGTGGGGAAAGTCACGGGGTCTGCACCCCGTGGTTTTAGCCCCAAGTTTCACTTCCTCACTGTCCCTGTCCTTTCCCACCCTGCAGTGGACCCAGCTAGACTACTGGGGTCCGAGGCAGGCAGTTGGAGGGGTTTAGACCGTGCACACCCTGGGATCCGAGTCACCCACCTAGGGGCTGGCGCTGTAGCCCACCACACCCAGGCCGACGGCCAAGAGGCAGCGCTTCCAGGGGTTCCTCCTGGCTGCGCGCCAGGATCGTCCCTCTGGGTGCGGGCGACAGATTGGGCGGCTTCAGCGCGAGCGCCTTTGAATTGCGCGCCGCGGGAGGAAACGAAAAAAAAAAAAAACACACACAAAACAAAACCCTCCCTAAGTGAGGGGGTTTTAAAAGACTCAGGAAACCACCGACGGTTAAACCCTGCACCGGGGCTCAAACCGTCTCCAGGCTTGCACCTGTTCATCCCTGCGGCCACCCAGCACAACCCAGGTGCGGTTCCAACACGCCCTCCTTGTCCCCAACCACGGTCCCCGCCGGGCACACCTCCCGGCCAGCAGCTGCATGGTGCAGGTTTATGCCCCTTTCTCGTGAACGAGCCTAAAGGCAACCCAGACCTCGAGAAATTCGTTTGCCACCGCGGAGAAGCGGCGGTTCGAATGCCCGCAAAAGCGCTGCCACTCCACCCCAAAGCGGTTCGGTCACCTTCCCGCGGCTGCCGTGGTTTGGACCCTCCTAGGCAAGCGACTTGGTAGGCTAGTTTGCGTTTCCCGCCGGAGGCTGGCGCTCCTCCGTCCGCAGCACGGAATTTTGCAACCTAACTCCAAGAAAGGCTCCGGGATACTTCTGCTCCAAGTTAACCCAGGATATAGTGTCGACCTGGGAACCCTGCCTACATGTACCCATTTCAGTCTCTTTACATTCGTACAATGGAAGCGACTCAAAGAAACTCTTCTTCCCATTAGTACCAGACGATGTTTGAGTCCTGGGGCAGAGCGAGAGCCCTCACCGCTCGTGTGCACAAAAAGTAGGACGTTTTCAAAGAGCGTGCAAGCCGGCGCGCGCCACGGGACTCAAGCGGGAAACAGGAGCAGAAAGCTCCATCCGAACCGCCCCCTGCCCCTGCCGCTCCATTTACTGAGAAAAATATTTCCATATTTCTCCCCTTATAGCCATGCTCACACACAAACAAAAAAAGTTCCCGCGCTCCTTCTCCGTGACTCTGGCATCCCTAAGGTTCTAGTCGCTTCTACCCGTTCTTAGAGGGACTACGCTCTAAGTTTGCAAGCTTACTGCAAAGTAGGATGCAACTGGACTTACACTGATGCCTTCCATGGCAACACTCGCTCTCCAGCCGTGGTGGCTACCGGAGCACCGAACGCCTCGGAGGGTCACAGCTACCTGCTGCACCAAGCAACAAATTGAAGTTTCTGGCCCGAACTGGACTTTTATAAAAACACGCTCGTGGGGCAGCGCATGCGCAGTTTAGACTGGGCGGGAGTAGCCTGGCGGGGGCGGGGCTCAAGGCTCTGGGACTCAGAAGTCTGAGAATTTGCTAGTCTGTTGTAGGTCGCCTCGTGGGTTCAGAGCCTGGCCAAATAATGCTCTCGAAGTTGGGGAAAGCAGGGTGCCAGCCAGGGAGTTTTTGTGGGTCGCGCATCCATCCTTGCCTAAGTGGATACGATTCTAGACTCAATTCTAGACGGATGGAGACATTGAGCCTAGAGTGGGGTGGGGGAGTGACTTGGTGCCTACCTAACCAGCAGGCGGCAATGTTGGAATCCCGGCCAGGGTCTGAGCTGTCAGGAGCTACTACTATCCAAGCTCTTCTGGACGCAAGTGTGTGTTACTGCACTTTCACAGCAATGACATCAGGATCAGATGTAGATAAGCAGAAATCACTTGCGGACCCTTCGAGAAGTAGAGGTATACTCTCAGGAAAAATTTCCCAATAGTGGCAACCAATTCGTAAAGAGACTTTTTTAAACGATTAAAGTGTGCTTTATTATAAAGAAGAATTTAGCGACGAGGACAATCTGTAACAGATTCTAAAATACCTGCACAGAAGCACTGGTTCATTTTCATTTCATAAGCATATAAGGATCATCTAATTAACAGGTAGTTACAGAGTCCCGGCTTTGGCTTTGGGCCTTGGGCAGTTCTAGAAGCTGGCGAGCCAGCTGCTATCCCCGCGCAGCGGGACGCTTCGCGAGCTCTGGGGGGTACCAAATGGAGCAGCCTGGGACTGCAAGTCAGTTCCGAGCCCAGAGCTTTCCCTTCCCGGCTAACCCGCGTCTCCCACCCAGAAAACTAAGTTGGAGCGGGGATGGGAAGTCTTAATGAAGAGCTGATTAGGAGGGGGTGGAGGGTGGGGGGAAGGTTGAGGGGGTGGATGGTTAGAGAGTCTCAGACAGGCTAGGGGATGGAGTGGGCGCCCAGACGACTTCCCAGACTCGCGCCAGTTAGGGCCGGCGCCGAGCCTGGGTGGGGCGGGGAGCGAGAGAAGGGCGGGGCCAGAAGCAACCAGATTGCCTGGGGGCCCCTTGAATAGGCTGAAGAGACAATCCGGCTGCAGGAGCCTGGGTTGCCAGGCAACGCAGAAACACCCCCTATCCTGGGATGGTCCTAAGGAGAAGGCAGGCCCAGACTGGGCCCTTGAACTCTATTCCAAACCCTGTTCTCCCTATCCCCGCTTTTGTTTGGAGACAATTTTATGTAGACCAGGCTGGCCTCAGGCTCCTACATAGCTAAGGACGGTCATGAACTGGCCTGTCTGTCACCTGCCTAGTTCTGGAAGTACAGATATGTGCCACCAAGCTCAGTTTTTTGTAGCGCCGTGGCTTGAACCCAGAGCTTTTTGCACGTTGGGCAAGCAGTGTACTAGCAGAACTATAATACATTTGCATCCCCTTCTTTACCTAATGGAGGAGCTGGGGAGCTAGTGTGCAGCCTAGGAAAGCTTTCTATGTAAATTGTGCATCAACTTCCTGTGTGGCCCCGGGGAACTCTCCCCCAAAGTTTGCCTGTCAAGTCCTCTTAGATGATCCTTGGAATTAGAAGGTGCAACCCTCAAAAACAGTCAGGTTAGGAACCGAGCGTTCACAAGTACTTTTAATTGTATCAAACCACTAATAAAGCTCATATTTCCATAAACTAGTTAGCACAGGCATGAGCGCCGTTGGACTGGAATGTCAGACCTGTTAAGAGTACCAGCATTCAGGATGGGTATCTGGACTGTAGCAGGACTGTCGGCTTTATTGAGGCTCCAAACTCCTGCCTTCACAAAGGCTAAGATGGGAGAAGGAGCATCTTCTAGACCTATCTCCGAGTGGCAGAGAGTACAATCAGAGTAAATGATTTGCATAATTAATATTTGTTAGTTGTTGGCAGACAAAAGAAAGCTTCCTTTCCATGATCTGCACATGCCTTTTTTAGGTCCTGTGAAGTATATTCACTGGAGGAAGCAGATAAAGGAACAATGAAATGCTATTTGGTGACTACAGAATTAGGAAAAAAAAAAGAAGAAGGGATTTTTTTTTCTTTTAAAGATAATATTTGGCTTCTGGATTGGAAAAGGTCAGCCATCTCTCGCTTGTCACTGGCGTGTGTGTGTGTGTTTGTGTGTGTGTGTGTGTGTGTGGAGGGGGGGGTTTGTGCAGCTTCAAAGAAAAGTATTTTGTATGTAGCCAGAATCTTCTGAGAGTAGTAATTCCACCTAAAGCGACGTAGCCCCAGGAAATAGCAGTTATGCTACAAAGCTCCTCATGGGAATATTGTTTACAATAATGTTAATAATAGAATAGTTAATAATAGCTTGATTAGCCCCGTTAGCAGACTAGTGGAGGTGATTTTGGTACATCCGTGAATGAAATTAATATGGATGTTGTGGATGTTTGTGAAGAGTTTTGAATAGCACGGGGAAATGCTTATGAAAGAAACTGCCCAGGGTGGGAATGAAAACTGTATGTTAGTTTATATGACCTCGGTTATGCCAGAACGTATCTTAGGGGACTAGGGGTATTGCTCCACTGATAGAGTGCTTGCCCAGCATGTTGTTGTTGGGGTTTTCTCCTCAGGCAGTGGGATTCATGTGTCCTAGGCTCTGAATTTCTGGTCCTGCTGCCTCCACCTCCCAGTACTGGGACTACAGGTGTGTACCACCATGCCCAATGTGACTGGTGCTGGAACTGAACTCAGGACTGTGCACATGGGAGACAGGCTGCTATTGAGTTACCTCCTCAGCTTTGGGATACAGTTTAGAAAAAATAAATCAAACTCAAATATCGACCGAATGCTTGTTAGGGGCACCCATCTTGGCTAATCCCCTCCACAGTTCTATCAAGCAGGTATCCTCACCTGTCTCCCATGATGAGGAAGCTAAAGTCCGGCGTGGGGGTGGGGGTGAAGAGCTTTCCTTCTTGTGCTCACAGATCTGTGCCCAGTCTGCCTGGCTCCAGAGCCCAGGCTTTCTCCACTTCATCACGATGACTGTCTTTCTCTGTCCATTGCCATCCACCCTCTGAATGCTTCTTCCTCCACAAGGGTATTAGGCATTTACTTACCTACTGCTGTGAGTGAAGTCTCTTGTGATTCAACTTTCTAAAAAGGCCTACGGGTCTTACTCCTCTTGCCTAAACATACCAAGTTCCCTGAAGAGAACGTCCAGATAGCAGTTCTCCAGCTGGCCCGCTGTTGAGCAAACGAAGGGCCCCTTGATTGTTTACTCAGTCTTCATTTAAAGAATTAACAACTTTCCCGTGTGGCTCTGGCAACAGAGGCCGGCTTAGGAGCTGTCAGGGCTTTGGCAGTGTCCCCAAGTTCTCAGAATTGCTTTAACCCAAGGGACAACTAGCCTTGGCCACAGTTTGTGGGGGGTTGCTTACAAAGTCAGTGCCACAGTGGCAAGCATCCTGCCACCTCCTGTTGCTCGCTCCGCAGCTGGTTGATTTGCTGTCTCTGCGTGTGTGACAGAAATCTCTACTCTGTCCAAAACAGGCTCCAAGTTAGGGAGAAAGCTTATGAATAGCCCTTCTTCTTGGTGGTAGAGGACAGGAGGTATCGACATTAAAGGCATTCTGAATAGGAAGGGTTCAGAGATGACTTAGTTGGTGAAGTGCTGGCTTTGTAGAATCCAGTCTCCTGGAACCTGTGCTAAGAAAGAAAGAAACACACCACACACACACACACACACACACACACACACACACACAGAGAGAGAGAGAGAGAGAGAGAGAGAGAGAGAGAGAGAGAGAGAGAGAGAACAAAAAGAAAGCCAGGTAAGGTGACACTTGTAATCCCAGTATCAGAGAGACAAAGATCTCTGGAGCTTGCTGGTGGAGGTCAACGAGAGACACTGTCTCTAAAATCTAGATAGATGCCATATCAACATACACATACTGATTTCCTGAAACCTCTGATGTGCATGCACACACACTGAAAAAAAAAAGTAGAATAAGAAGAAAAAGAAGGAGGAGGAGGAGAAGAGAATATGAAGAATTCTCCGGTCCTCTTTTGCAGCACTGGAAATGAAATCCAGGGCTTCATGTATGTAAGGCAAGTATTCAACCAACTGAGATCCATTTCAGTGAGTCCCTTGCTCTTTGTTTTTTAAAGGAAAAAAAAAAGTACAGCCTTTCTTGATGAATGTAGGGGATAATCAAAAGGATGGAGTTAATGTTTTCCCAAATGATTAAGAAAGAGAAGCAGACTACTTCCCAAGGGTGAGTAATTCTAGCAGAGGGTTGAGTGGCAAAGACAGGGCTATCAAATGTCAAGTAGGGAAAACCATTCCCTGCCACCCGTCCTGTCCCTAAGCTTCTGTCTTCAGCACTTAACAGGTGAAAAATGATTTTTGGAAAATAAACTTTCTGCCTTGCAGCCCTACACCAGCTTAAGAAAAGCATTACTGGTTTTCTGAGAAGCACTTTTTCTTCAAGTTTAACTTGAATTTCCAAAAGTCTACCCCCTTAACACACACACACACACACACACACACACACACAAGATTAGGAGTGATTTCCATCAAAGCTCTGTAACAAGACAAGATTTGCCATCTGAAGAAAATTGGTCAGACTGGTACACAAACAGAGACCGTTTAGAGTCGCTCTCTTAAGTGTCTGAACAAAAAACGGTCACTCTATTAGCAATACAATAATCATTACTTGACTAATCCCAGGGCCAGAAGGAATAATTGCTCTGGAGACTTTGTGTGACTTTGTGGGTGTGAGGCACTGCAGAAACAAGATTCAGAAGGGATGGTGTCAAGCTGGGAAGAGGGCGGGACCTTAGGAAATAATTGAGGGAGCAGACTCTGTTCTCCATGGAAAAGGCTTGTTGTTGTTTTCCTTAAGCCAGTAATTTATTGGTGGTGGCTGCAGGCAGCTATGGAACAAGAGGAAGCAACGAGAGCCAGTGGA